GCCCACGAACCCGGGGGGCGGCTGCAGGCGGCGGGCCACCAGGCCGTCCAGCGCGGCGGCAGGGGTGCGGCACACGTCCACGTCCACGTCCATGACCCGGGGCTCGGGGTGCAAGGTGTAGGGTGCAGGGCTCTGCGCGGGGGGCGCGGCTCCGCAGTGCTCCCCGCCTCGGGTGTGCGCCCCCAGGTGCCTGGGGGCGCCCTTCAGGCCGTGCGTGCGCCCCTGCTCTCGGGGAGAGGGAAGCAGGCTACTGAGCCAGTCTCCCCACGTCCCCACTTTCTCCCTCACCCCGCCCCCCCCTCCCAGTCCCCTCCTTTCCCGCTTTCAGTTTCGTTTCTGGGCCCCGAGCTCCCATTTCCGGGCGCCTTCCCCGCCGCGCTCCCCTCCCTGCTGGGTCCCTCCTCCCAGCTCCGGGCCTGCCCTCCTGGGCCCGATGCACTGACACCGGGAACAAAAGGCCTGCAGATCTCGGCGTCAGTAATGTCCGCAGAGCGTGGACGGCCCCACAGGTCTCTGGGGAGAAATGGCAGGAGAGTCCCACAAACCGAGCCCCCCCCCCGCCCCCCCCCCCCCCCCGGTGGGCTGGAGAGTGCGCTCCGAACACCTAACCAGGAGCCCTTAGAGCGGGTTCCTGCACCACCTATCCCCCGCCCCCCTTACTCGGCGCCCCCAGCCGCCCGGATGTGTGCCCCTGTCCTCACACAGGCCAGGGGTGCAGGACAGAGCCTGGGCCTCTCGCCAAAGGTCACTCGGGTGGGTGGGAAGTCGTCTGAAGGGGTTCAGACCGGGTTGTGCCAGTTCCAACCGCTCCCTCTATTCCCGAGGAGCCAACTCTTCCCAAATACTTCATCCATGAGATGCAATTCCAGAAAAAAGTCCATTTTTAACATTTCAAACACACCATTCTAAAGTGACTAAGAATTATGTTTGTTTTTAACGAGGAGAAATGAGAAAGGAGAGGCAGTTTAGAATGGCACCTTTCGCACAGAATCACCTACTAACACGTGACAAAGCTTCAGGACGACACTCCTTGGGGCCTGGCCCCCGAGCAGGAGGTTAGCTGCAGAGGGGACACTGGACTCTGCAGGGCAGCCGCGGCCGTGTCTAGCTTCACGGCCTGGATTCGCTTTTCGGCTGCTTCCCCACCCTCTTAGCTCTGCACACCCGAGCTTTGTCTGGGGGGCCGCGCCAGGGTCCCTCCCTAGGCCCCTCCCCCCAGTCTCACTCAAACCATTGGTCCTCTTCACGTCACTCAAGGATCCAGCATTTACTCTGCCTCTGAGTAACCCTCAGGGGACAGTTTATCTTTTATTTATTTTATTTCTTTATTGATTATGGTGTCACAAGAGCTTCCCGAGGCCCGCGGTAACTGAGAGGCAATGATAGGGGGTCAGGGGGTGAGAGGGTTCCGGAGGGCAGAGGGCGTGGTGGTAGGCGGGCAGTGTGTACACAGTTTATCCTGTGAGTAGGGAGTGCCACGTCACTGGGGCATTCAAGTACAGGGGGAAGACTGGGTCACCGGTGAGAGGTTGTGAAGGGGAATCACTTACTCATTCATCACAGCCGTCTTCCCGATTCACAGGCCACGTGAGAAATCTGTGTGGGACGTGGAATGAACAGATGCCTGAGACCCTACTGAAATGACAGCGAAGATGTATTAAATGGTTTTAGTCCTCACCCGAGGACATGCTTAGAGAGAGGAAGGGAGAGAGGGGGAGAGGGAGAGGAACATCAACGTGAGAGAGAACAGTGATTGGTTGCCTTCTGTATGTGCCCCACGTGGAGGTTGAACCTGCCACCCAGGTATGTGCCCTGACCAGGAACTGAACTGGCAACGTTTCGGTGCCCAGGGCGACGCTCAACCAACCGAGCCACCTCAGCCGGGCAGCAAAGTATCATGCAAGTCTACACGTTGGAAATGGAGGAGGGGGCGTGCCATCGGGGGACAGAATAGTCTAGCAGATTTTAGAAAGTAGAAAGCAGAAAGGTTGGAACAAGGTGGTGGACTGACCCAATGCACAAGCCTCCCACGCCACCAGACCTCCAGGAATAGCAGGAGAGATGAACTTGATGAATATTGTTGCTGGTCCCCTGAGACTCCTGAAGGAGCTGTGGGATTGGACAGAGGAGGAAATTCAAACCCAGAGCATGGGAGGAAGGCGGTAACTATGCGGGTGGGAGAGGATCCCGGCATATCACAGACAGAGCGAGGGGCAGGAGGGAGGGGCTGTGGGAGGAGGAGGAGAAGGGGTATCTGGGACCGACCACACAGGCTTCAGAGGTGTCAGTACATTCCAATCCAGTGAAGCCTGGCTGGTGTGGCTCAGTGGTTGAGCATCGAGCCAGGAACCAAGAGGTGACTGGTTGATTCTCAGGCAGGCCACATGTCAGAGTTTGGTCTCGATCCCCAGGAGGGGCCATGCAGGAGGCAGCTGATCAATAATGTTTCTCTCTCATTGATGTTTCAATTTCTCTAACCCTCTCCCTTCCTCTCTAAAAAAATAAATTAAAAGAAAAAAAGTAAACAAAAATAAAATCCAATTGAGCTGGGAGGACCTCAGCATAAACCTGAGCTGAGATTCCCCCATGAACCCAGGACCGCAAACCACACAGGACATAGCCACTCTGACAGCCTTTCCGCAGTGTTCTCGCCTCCTCCGTGACCTCCACCCTTGTCTCTGCTGACTCACCATCAGCTCTTTTCTCAGTTTCGTTTCCCCAGCAGGAAGTTACCTAGAAAGTAGCCTTACCTCTGGGGCCTCAGAAATTTGTGTCTCAGAGGTTTTTTTGTTTGTTTGTTTTAGGAAGGGAGGGAAAAAGAGAAACATCGATGTGAGAGCGAAACACCCTTTGGTTGCTTCCCAGAAGCCCTGACCAATCAAACCCACAACCTGACCAGGAATTGAACTTGCCACCTTCTGGTGTACAGGACGATGCTCCGAACAACTGGAACCACTCCAGCGAGACTTTCTCAGGTGTTTCAATCCCCATCATCCCTTCCACAATTGCTCCCCTGTTTCCAAATCTCATGAACTTGTTCTTGGACCAGCAACTCCAAATACCAGCACGCCAGATCTCTCTATAACCTGGTCTTGCTGACATTTCACAAACAAGAAATATTTTAAAATATGTTTTTGCAAGAAAAATTGCTTTATTGTGTGTTTGTGTGTGTGTGTGTGTGTGTGTGGCATACAAGCAATACAAGTTCGAATTTATATCACATCAGAAAATTCAGAAAAGTATTAAGGTCACTCATAATCAAATATACACACTGAAGCATTTAGGTCTTCCGGGAACAAATCATTACCAAGTGAAATTAAAGAAAACATGCTTACGTACAGTAACACAGAAATAAATGCCTAAGAATAATATGGAAAAAAACCCAACCCATTGAAATTCAGAGAAAATTCTAAAACTTACTCATTCAGTCATTAAAGAAATAAATGGAAAGCAACTTCATCGATTGTGATTCTCCATACGACACAGATGCCATTCTCCCTAATCTGACTTGTGTAACTCCGATTAAATGCCTCCCCATATTTTGGGTGAAACTGTAAACACTGAGTATAAAATCAACATGGAAATAGAAAAGCCAAGGGAAGCCATGGATTTTTGTTTAAAAAAAAAAAAAAGATAACAGAGTTTGCTATGAGATTATTCAATTATTTTAAGTTTATAATAATTAAGGCGAGGTCGGATTTTAACCTTCGAGGCTCTGACCCACTTTGAGTCCATTTGTGTGTGTGTGTGTGGTGTAAGATAGGCCTACAGATTCATCCTACCCAATTTCTCCAGCACCATTTGTGGAAGAGAGAACCTTTTGTTTCCCCTGCAGGAAGTTACCCAGCCTGTGGACATTAGCTGGCTGCACGCAACCGAATTCAGGCAACAAAAGCAAAACGAGGCAAGAGGGACCACATCCAAGTAACTCGCGTCTGCACAGTGAGTGGAAACACCCACAGTGTGGGAGGGCAAGCCCCGGAAAGGGAGGAAATATGTGCAAACCATAAAGCTGATAAGGGGTTAATTTCCAAAATAATCAGAAGCTCCCACTAGTGACGAGCAAAACAATTTAAAAAAAAACTGAATAGTCCTATTACAGAATGGGCCAAGCACTTGAATAGCTATTTCAAAAAAAAAAAAAAAAAAAAAAAAAGCATGCAAATGGCCAACAGGCCCGGGAAAAGATGCTTGACATCACTAACCATCAGGGGAATGCAAATCAAAACCATGAGCCATCACCTCTCATCTGTTAGAATGGCCGTTCTGTTTTTTAAGAAATACACTTTTATTGATTTCAGAGAGGGAGAGAAAGAGAGAGAGAGAAAAATCAGTGATGAGAAAGAATCATTCATCGGCTGCCTCCTGCATGTTCCCTACCGGGGATTGGGGATCAAGCCCACAACCCCGGCAGATGTCCTTGATGGGATTCAAATCCGGGACCCCTCCGTCTGCAGGCCGACACTCTATCCATGGAGCCAAACCAGCTAGGAAAGAATGGCTATTCCATTAAACACATAACACACACACACACACACACACACGACACAAGCGTTGGCGAGACTGTGGAGGAATGGAATGGGAACCTCAGGGACTGTTGGTGGGAATGCGAAATGGTGCAGCCGCTCTGGAAAGCAGTACGGGAATTCCTCAGGAAATTAGAATGAGTACTTCGGTATGATGCCTTTGGCTTTCCAAATGAAGCAACTAATTACCAACTCCATTAATGTGCTGGTGACTGTAATGTTGTTTTTATAATCACGAAACTCTCGTAAGACAACACAGGTGGCTCACCCACAAGGTAGAAAGGTGCCCGTTACATGTGATGCCCAAGTTTTCGACTCGGCATGGAGAACTGCGGGAAACCTGTCCGGGCAGGTAACAAAGCTGGGCAGGGAGGGAGAAGAACCCCGTTAAAAAAGGCACTACGGCCGAAACTGGTTTGGCTCAGTGGATAGAGCGTCGGTCTGTGGACTGAAAGGTCCCACGTTCGATTCCGGTCAAGGGCATGTACATTGGCTGCGGGCACATCCCTGGTAGGGGGTGTGCAAGAGGCAGCTGGTCGATGTTTCTCTCTCATCGACGTTTCTAGCTCTCTATCCCTCTCTCCTCCTCTCTGTAAAAAATCAAAAAACAAACAAACAAAAAACACTACGTATCCAGGGAGACAGGCAGAGGCCGAGAAAAGGCTGAGGAGACAGGCCCCAGATCTTACCAGGTGGGAGGGGGAGGCTGTGGAAGTGCTGTTGTTTTATCTCAAGTGATTTATTTTGTGAGTGTTAAAGGCAATAAGCTAGATATCGTCACGAAGGAAGACGTTTCTACACAGGAGGGAGGGTCCCACACGCGGCCGCACGGGATTGAGCCACAGGGAGAGAGGGGAAACAGGGGCGAGAACCTTCGCCACAGCCCTGGCTGGGTTGGCTCAGTCGATAGAGCCTTGGCCCTCGTACGGAAAGATCCCGGGTTTGATTCTGGTCATGTACCTGGGCTGCAGGCTCCATCCTGGCCCTGGTGGGGCGGATCTGGGAGGCAACCAGTCAATGTGTCTCTCTCCCATCGATGTTTCTCTCACTGTCCCTCCCCTCCCTTCCACTGTTTCTAAAAATCAATAGGAAAAATACCTGTTGGTGAGGATTAACTAAAAAAAAAAAAGAACCTTTATGATAGTTCCCACAGGAAAGGGAAGGCGGGTCAGCAGGCCTAGGATGGGCCTGTTGGAATCATTCCAGTGCGCTCTGCCCAGGTGTCTGGGACCTGCCCTGGGTGAGTCGGGGGTCTGGGCTCTGATTGGCTGGTTTGCATCTTAGAGGCAACAGGTGAGTGTGTGTTCTGTTCTCCTCCATTCTGGGGCGGGGGTGGGGGGGGAGGGGGTGGGGGAGAAACACACTCTGCCCGGGGAAGGCCGTTGTGGAAGGACCAGGTGCTGTCCGCAGTCGGGGAGCTGACGTGTCTTGAGAGCAGATGTTCCCCAGGCATCTCCGCTGCCTCAGGCCTGCAAGAGTCAAGTTCACGGTCACCTTGCAGAGCTGCTGCCCGCCTTGGCTTTGGGGTGGCTCCGTGACAGGCCGCTCGGCTCCTCCTCAAGGAAAGGGGAGCAAGTCCCAGGTGGGCCAGGGGGGCTGTTGCAACAGACGTCCGTGCTCGGCCCTTTGGGGTTGGTTGCCCGGGTTTAAGGCCACTCCCTTCCTCAGTTGCCCCATTTAGGAACCGATCCAGGGCCTCAGGGCGGGTATAACGGCCTGACGCCCTCAGGCTACAGGAGGCCAACTCTCAAGGCCACTGGAGCTCCAGGGCCCCGGGGGGTGAGGGGGCTGACACTGTGGTCGGACTGCATCCCAGCTGGACTCGCCCTGTGCCCACACCTGCTTCCTTCCACCCCGTTCCTGCACACCACACCCCCTCTCCGAGCCTGCTTCCCGGGGAACCCCCATGACATCACCAATCCCCTGGCGTGGGAAAGACCCCAGTTCAGGAGTGGCTGCCCCTACTAGCTGGGTGACATGCCCTCGCCACTCAGCTGCTCTGAGTTTCCTGTTTGTCAGATGCTGGAGGTGGGAGCAGGGGGCTGGGGGGGGGGGGGGAGGCGGGGACAGGCAAGCTGTTTACACAGGGGAGTGGGCACCAGCCTTGGACTCCGCAGGTTTGAGTCCCAGCTCTGCTGGTCCCTCCCTCGCTGAATGCTCTGAGCAGCGGCACCACCCCTCTGGGCCCCCTCTCGTCTGTGAGCCCAGAGCGGAAAACCTGCCTTATGCGTTGCTGCGGGGCTCGGTGATTGAATAAAATAATGTGTGCTAAAAGGCTGGGGACAGAAGCTGGGCGCCAGGCAGACATTCCGTGAGCAGTGGCTGCCATGCTCGTTATCATTGGAAGAAGGAGACAACTGGAGACACTGGAGTGGTTACAAACGCGACCTTCGGCCAGGGCAGCCCGGCGTAAAGAAGGAACTTTGGACAAAGGACGTGGCCATTCGAGGGACCCTCGGAGTGGGGTCAACGTGGTGATGATAAAAAGTGACTGTAAAACCGGGAGCTCGGCCTGACGCTGTGTAGGTGAGAGGCGACTTCCTTGGGAACAAGGGCCCCCACGCTGTGTGGAGGGGAGAGGGAGGGAGGACTGGGAGGGAGCGGGGGGGGGGGGGGGGTCTCACCAGTACTTTCCAGGGGCGCACTGGAGACCCATCTCCATTGTGAAAGCACTGGTACATCAGCCAGGCCCCAGCCTCCCTCGCCAGCAGCTTCCAGCCTTTTCGATGTTCGCCACCGACGTTTTTGGTAGGGTCCGCAGGGTCCAGAATCACAGGCCTGAGGAGCGACATTGAGAGAGGGACAGCGGAGGAGCTGGGCTGGGTCTCCCGAGTCTAGATGCTCCTGTAATTGCTAACCCCCTGGGGCAGGTGGGGGGGGGGGGGGGGGGGGGGGCGGGATAGAGGAAGACCCAGCAGGGCGCCGTTTCCTGGGGCTCGCCCCGCGTGTCCCGGTGAACAGCAAACCCAGGAAAAGGAGCCTTGCGCTTGGGCCTTGCTGTGCCCCTGATTCGTGGTGTGCCCTCGGGCAGGTCACTGGCGCTCCCTAAGCCTCGGTGTCTTCCTCTGTGAAATGGGGCCACTTCCAAGAACGTGAAATGCCCCGCCCGGTACCTGGGACCCAGCCTAATGGGGGGAGGGTCCATCCGAGTCAGTCCTCGTGATGATATGGTTTCCTGTTCGGGTGTGTGAGCCCCCCAGTGAGCCTCTCATCCCCCCCGGGGAAGAACTGTTTCAGCCCACATGGCAGCCATGGCGCTCATTTCCTGGGACGGTGCGGGCAAGCTGCTCAGACCCTCAGTGCCCTCAGTGCCCGCCTCACAGGGCTGCCTGTGGTCTAACTGGATGGCAGAAAGGTGCCCGGCACTGGAATTGGCAGCAGCAGATGGCCCACCGACGTGGGGCCTCCTGCTTCCTCATGCCCAAGGCACCAGAGCGGAGCTCCCCACAGGGCTTAGCGCCCCCCTCCCCGCTCTGTGGGGACCGGGTACCTGGGTTTCCTGAACTGCCTCTCCAGGTATGGGCCAATCACAGGGTGTGAAAGGTCATAATACTGTGTCCAGTAGATGCACAGCCGCCGGTGTCTCATGACTAATCCCAAGACCCTCCGAAATCCCTGTGCTGTGTCGAAGTCCTCGGGCTGGCCTGCACGCTCCCAAGCGTAGATGGTCAGGAGCTCCAGGGCGTACTTAGGCGGCAGGCGACCTACAAGCTTCTCCTTACACTGAGAGGAGGGAAAACAGCCAGGAAGATGGGCTCGTCCGGCTCTGTGGCCGAATCCTGCCTCCCGCCTGCTTTTGTAAATAACGTTTTCTTGGCGCCAAAGTCATGCTCATTCACGCATGTGCCGCCTGTGGCTTTCCCGCTCCAAAGCCTGCGTTGAGTAGCTAGGACAGAGACGCCCCCCATGGTCCAGGACAGAGAAGTGCCCCAAGGTCTGACACATTTACCACCTCGAGGTTTAGGAAAAGAGGTCGCTGATCCTGGTTAGGTCTGGGGCTCTGGATCCTGATTGAATCCTGGCTCCAACCTCACCTGATTCTGGAAGACAACTCTTTTTCTTTTTCTTTCTTTCTTTCTTTCTTTCTTTCTTTCTTTCTTTCTTTCTTTCTTTCTTTCTTTCTTTCTTTCTTCCTTTCTTCCTTTCTTCCTTTCTTCCTTTCTTTCCTTTCTTTCCTTTCTTTCCTTTCTTTCCTTTCTTTCCTTTCTTTCTTTCCTTTCTTTCTTTCTCTTTCTTTCTTTCTTTCTCTTTCTTTCTTTCTTTCTTTCTTTCTTTCTTTCTTTCTTTCTTTCTTTCTTTCTTTCTTTCTTTCTTTCTTTCTTTCTTTCTTTCTTTCCTTCCTTCCTTCCTTCCTTCCTTCCTTCCTTCCTTCCTTCTTTCTTTCTTTCTTTCTTTCTTTCTTTCTTTCTTTCTTTCTTTCTTTCCTTCCTTCCTTCCTTCCTTCCTTCCTTCCTTCCTTCCTTCCTTCCTTCCTTCCTTCTTTCTTTCTTTCTTTCTTTCTTTCTTTCTTTCTTTCTTTCTTTCTTTCTTTTTTTCCTTTAAATGTGTTCTTATTGATTCTTGGAGAGGAAGGGAGAGGGAGAGAGATATAGAAACATCGATGAGAAAGAACCCACACCCAGGCATGTGCCCTGACAGCAATGAACTGGTGACCTCCTGGTGCCAGTTGGAAGCTCAGCCATTTGAGCCACACTGGCCGGGCTGGGCAGACCACTCTTGAAGCCTCACTTTTCTCATTTACCAAGTGAACGGTAATAATAGCATCTACCCTAAAAGGACATGATGAGCCCGGCCGGTGTGGCTCAGTGGTTGAGCGTTGACCTATCAACCAGGAGGTCACTGTTCTATTCTTGATACGAGCACATGCCCAGGTTGCAGGGTCGATCCCCAGTGGGGAACGTACAGGAGGCAGCCCATCAATGATTCTCTCTCATCCTTGATGTTTCTCTTTCTCTCTCTCTCTCCCTTCCTCTCTGAAATCCATAAAAATAATTTTAAAAGGATATTATGAAAAATAATTCAGAGGAAGCACTTTAAGCACTTCCGAAGTGTCTTCTAGAAGCAAATAAATAAATAAATAAAAATCCTCTGCAGGGAGAAAAAATGATCCAAAGCTCCAAATGACCTCACAAATAATTTCAAGTACTATGACGAGCATTTCAAGTGCTATGACGAGCATAGAAATAACTAGGCACACAATGAAACAGGGCACCAGCAGGAAGAAAAAAAAAAAAAAGAGAGAGAGAGATAAAATAGTAATAAATTCCCGAAACTCTAAATATTGCAGGGCCAAATACTGGCTTGGAAAGAACTGGGAATACTCTATCCAGAGAAAGAGAACCAGAGAAAGAGCTAGGAGGGACCTAGAAGTTATGCCCCTTCTATGCCTCCCCCTTCCTCCTCTCCTCTCTCCCTCCATGTGCCCCTCCCCCGCCCCTCCCTCCCTTTCCTTCTCCCCCCTCCTCCTTCCCTCTCCACAGCTCCCTTCTCCTCCCATGCCTCCCCTCCCGCCCCCACTCTCCCTCCCTCCCTCTCTTCCCTCCTGCTCCCCTCTGCAGTCTCTCTCCCCTCCTCCCTCTCCTGGGTCTGGCAGGACCCACACCTTCTGGTACCAGTGCTTGACCAGGCGGACGAGGCTCTTGAGCTTGGCCGGGCGCTGCTTCAGGAAGGCTTGTTGCAGCTCCGTGAAGCAGGAGGAGAACTCGCCCTCCTTCTTCAGGATCTTGCACTCCTCGATGAGCTTGACATAGATGTTGGGGGAAGGTCTGTAGTGCTCTGTCACCTGACCTGTTGGGGACAAATCCATAACTCCCATCACTCTGGGGGACAAGCTTGGTGGCCGTGGATACAATGGAAACGGCCATTTCTAGCCCCCCACCCCCACCCCCTCTCCCCACCCCGTTCTCCCATCCACTGCTATTGCCTGGTCCATGCCACGAAGGTTACAGGCTCCACTGTCCTTTCTCCATCACTTCCTTCCTCCTGGTCCTCTCCTCCCCATCCATCCTCCGCGTCTTGCATTTCCCCCACTGCACTCAGATCCTCTCTAACCTCTGTGCTCTCCCCTTCTCTCTCTCTCTTTTAGGACCCTTGTACCCCAGCAGCCAACACGGGACATGGCCACCGGGGGAATACTGCCAAGCTTTTTTTCTCGTTTTGTGGCGTTTTTTCTCGAGAGCCCAGGCCAAACGAAATTCCTACCGGTTCTGTGTTCCTTCAACTTAATAGGAGCAGTTTGCACGGCGTCCGAAGGGAAAACAGATGTCGCCGTGTTTTCCCTCCGAAGTTTAAAAATCTAAGCTCTTCCTGCACACCCCTGTGAGCCAGTTCTCCTGGGTGTCCTGGGAGCCTGGGGGCCCAGTTGGGGAACTCCCAGTTTTGAACACCTGCGAGGTGCCAGGCCTGGTGAAAGAGCTTCACTTTAAAGTGAGTGTGGCCGAAACCGGTGTGGCTCAGTGGATAGAGCGTCGGCCTGCGGACTTAAAGGTCCCAGGTTCGATTCCGGTCAAGGGCATGTGCCTTGGTTGCGGGCACATCCCCAGTAGGGGGTGTGCAAGAGGCAGCTGATCGATGACTCTCTCTCATCCCTCTCTCTATCCCTCTCTCTTCCCCACTGTGAAAAATCAATGAAATACATTTAAAATAAATAAATAAGTGAGTGTGACGTGGCTCCTGGCGGGGGCGCTCACCCAGCACATCGTAGGCGGGCAGCACGTCGAACTCCACCGCCGCCCCCGGGAGAGAGGGGCTCTTGAGCGTGAAGCCCAGTGCGCGGGGGTTCCGCACTCCGGGGTCCTGGACCTCGAAGTTCACGGTGAACTTCTTCTGCTTCTGACACGCCTCCAGCTGACGTCTGATCTCCCGGATCAACTCCTCTCGGCGACGAAACTGCTTCTGAAAACTCGTGAGGGGGCTGAGGAAGACCACGAGGTCGGCGTCGGACGTGTCTCTGAGGGCCGTGCCTTTGCCCGAGGAGCCGCCCTGGAACGGAGCGGAGCATGAGAAGAGCCAACGACCGGGGCGCCAGCTGCCGTTCTGAGGGCATTGCCAGTCCTACTTCCCATGATGCTCCTAAGGACTTTGCTATTCAGGCATTTATTATTATTATTATTATTATTAATTACTACTACTAGAGGCCTGGTGCATGAAATTGGTGCACTGGAGTGGGGAGTTCCTCAGCCTGGCCTGCACCCTCTCCAATCTGGGAATCCTCCGGCAATGTCTGTCTGCCAGCTTAGGCTCGAACATCCCTCTCACAATCTGGGTCTGCTGGCCCCTAACCGCTCACCTGCCTGCCTGCCTGCCTGATTGCCCCTAACTGCTTCTATCTGCTGGCCTGATCACCCCTTAACTGCTCCTCTGCTGGCCTGATTGACACCTAACTGCTCCCCTGCCTGCCTGGTCACCCCAACTGCCCTCCCCTGCCAACCTGGTTGCCCCCAACTGCCTTTCCCTGTTGGCCCGATCACCCAGAACTCCCCTTCCCTGCCGGCCATCTTATGGCGGCCATCTTGTAATGACATGGGGCAGCCATCTTGTGATGACGCAAGGGCAAGACGTCACTTGGGCTTTTATTAGTATAGATGCTGCTGCTGCTGCTGCTGATGATGATTAGTTCCCATTTCACAGGTGGGAAAACTGATGCTCAGAGAGATTATCAGCCCAAGCCATTGCTGACAGGTGGCAGAGACGCAGCTCAAGTCCCAGCTGCCTTGTTCTAGAAGTTGCAGCCTTCGCTGCCTGGCTCTTACTGTCTTGTATTATTACATGCTGTAGTCTGGCCCACGCTGGGTGGTTTCCTTAATCTGCACAGCCCGGTAGCCTACGGGGAAGGATGGATGAGGAAGCGGAGGCACTGGCAGGGTGAGTGCCTTGCTCAAGGTTTTACTGCCAGTTGGTGCTACATGCTTTTCGCAATTATTATTAAACCCACTGGGGGTATATTAGCCGTGGGTTAATATAACACCACATCCGTTTCAGGTGCACAACCTTGTGGTACATCTGTACAAGCTATTGTGTGCTCACCAACCAAGACCCTTGTGCCACATTGTATTCGAACCCTTTTATCCTCTTCATTCTCTCCCCCCACCCCCAACCCCACCCTGCCCGACCTCCATTCACCTAGTAACCAGCAACCTGTCAAAATTTAGACTCTGCATAAATGGCCGTTAATTAGCAGGTTGTTGATCCCAGCTGGGCCTCTGCTTCCCCATCTTTGAAATGGGCGTGGCTTAGGACGGTGGTTCATGAACTTCACTGGGTCAGTGAAGAGTCTGGCCAGGCCGGTGTTGCTCAGTGGTTGAGCATCGGCCTCTGAACCAGGAGGTCACGGTTCGATTTCCCATCTGTAACATTTCAGGTTACTGCAGGCTCAGTCTCCAGTAGGGAGCATGCAGGAGGCAGCCGATCAATGATTCTCTCTCATCATTGATGTTTCTCTCTTTCCTTCTCCCTTCCTCTCTGAAATCAATAAAAATATATTTATTTTAAAAATTACAGTCTATTTTCACAAACGGTGGTTGTATTTTTGGTATGGATCAACTGGAAACCACCCCCCCCTCTCCCCCAAGATCTCTTTCTCTGTGGAAACTCGTGCCCGTTCAACGCCCCCTTCCCTCCCCCGTTTGGCAGGGGGGCTCACCTTTACAACCTTTGACACCTGGACTTGACCTTGACCTTGGAAACACCTCTCCTTCAGGAAACTGCAGATGATGTCAATGGCTCCCTTGATCTGCGTTCGGAAATCAGTGTCCAGCAGGAGGTGGCGTTCAATAAACCTGTCTAGATCCCTGGCTGGGGTCGTTTCGAGAGTTTCAAGCGACATTGTGATGCTCGGGCAGGGACAGGAAGAGCCAGGGGCCAAGGAAACAGCTGGAGTCTCTCTCTCTCCTGTGGCCCCAGCCTGAGCTGCCCTGGGTTTCGTTTCCTAGGAAGGGAGGAGCCAAGCCCCAGCCTCTTATCAGGTGTCTCACTCCCGGGATCTCCAGCCCCACCCCACGTTCTGCACTTTTTCTCTGCTGTTAGCCTGTCTTCAGACTGCGCTGCGGAAACACCGTTTCTTAACCCCCTCCTGGAAGTACCTCACCTGAGAGAAACCAATGTTTGGTTCTCTTCTTCCTAGTTTCTGTTTTGTTTTGTTGTTGTTGCTGACAAAATTGGTTCATAGTCTCCCGGGATTAGTGCATGCAAACGGCCAAAGGTCAGAAAACTCAGGAAGCAGAAAACCCCATTCATAACCCCTGTTAATGTGAATCTCTCTCTCTCTCTCTCTCTCTCTCTCTCTCTCTCTCTCTCTCTCTCTCTCTCTCACACACACACACACACACACACACACACACACACAACAAACACCCTGAAACTTGTAAAGAATTTCTGTGAGTTTATTTGAGCCAAACTGTCAACATTTGGTTTACTATCTACCTGTCAATGGCTCAACCAGTGTGTTCAGCGATCTGCTTCAGTTTTCCCATTCCATTTACCAAGTAATGTTAACATAAAACACCATTGAAGCCTGTAAAGAATTTCTGTGAGTTTGTTTGAGCCAAACTGTAGACCTATGCCAGGAAGCAGAACCTCAACAAATTGAGATAATGCCCCAGGGAATGGCGGGTTCCATCTGTATTTACTGTATTTTCCGGCGTATAAGACAACCCCCTAATTTTACAGTTAAAACATAGGTTTAGGCCTATCTTCGCTGTATAAGACTACCCCCCACTTCCCGAGGCAACACCAGTTCTTTTTTTAATAGACCGCCTCTCTGACTCTGGCCAATCTGAGCAGGCTTTTTACTAGAACCCAGTGTTGTCTTATACACCGGAAAATACGGTATACATTGCCATCAAAGGAGGGACCTAACTGGGTTTCATGAAATCCATGGGTGATAGAATGAGGAGGTGGGATGAAGCAAAGCGGAGGAAACCCCTGGGATTGGATAAAAAGTGAAATGATGGACACATGCTTAGGTGGGCGCAGGTACAATGAACAGGATAATGAAGGAATCTGTGGTCTCTGTCCTGGCGCCCAGCACATTTGGTTGTGCCCCAGGGGCTCCAGAAAAGGGGAGTTACAAGTTACCCAGACATTTCAAGGGTATGTTATCATAGATGCAAAAAGACAGCTAGGCTCAATTAGGTAAAGGCTGACCTTGTCAGTGAAGATACCAGCCTAGGACGGAACTGCCCACCATCACTGCTTTTAGTTAAAGTTTAATTTCAGGCCATCCTTTGTGATGACATCAAGTCTCTGAGTTTGCAAGACTGCCATGCAGGCCTCCCCTGAGCTGGTCAGGTCAGCATGTGGCCCCTTCCGTCCACACCCCAAACCTCAAAATCTACCGTCAGGAACACGTCGGTTGCTGGAGTGCCTCCCGGTCAGTGCACACACTCAGGTTACAGGTTTGATCCCCGGTCAAGGTGCATAGGGGAGGCAACCGAGCGATGTTTCTCTCTCCCATCTATGTTTCTCTCTCTCTCCCTTCCTCTGTCACTAAAATCAATGCACATACCTTTGGGTGAGGATTTAAAAAACAAAAATTCCCTCTAATCACCGATTCCATTTTATCCCACAATTTTAATTGGTCGTATCTTCATAGTCAGTTCGTGCAAACTGTTTTTACATTTCCCGTGAGGCTCCTTTGACTCCTGTGTTAGTCAAAAGTGTGTTAGTCCTCATTTTGGAATTTTCCAGATCGCCTTCTGTTACTGATGGAGTGCTTGATCCCCTTGTGGTAGAGAGCATCCTTGGGTGAGAGGCATCCCTTTTGAACGTGCTGAGGTGTGTCTTCTGGTCCGATCGTGGTCTGTCTTGGGGAATGTTGCGCGTGAGCTTGAGGAGAACGTGGATGCTGTTATTGTTGGATGGCGTCTTGTGCAGATGTCCATTCATCTTTCTTAGCTACCCTCCTCTTCGCCAGCTCCTCCGTTAGCTGGCTCTCCCCATTCCTGTGCACCGTGCTGACTTTTGCTTAAGGCAAAATGTAACTTTGGCCAAAACCGGTGTGGCTCAGTGGATAGGATGTCAGTCTGCGGACTGAAGGGTCCCAGATTAGATTCCAGTCGAGGGCATGTACCTTGGTTGCGGGCACATCCCCGGGGGGGGGGTGTGTGTGTGCAAGAGGCAGCTGATGGATGACTCTCTCTCATCGATGTTTCTAACTATCTCTCTCCCTTCCTCTCTGTAAAAAAAATCTATAAAATATATATATTAAAAAAATGTAACTATGCTGGGACCGGTTTGGCTCAGTGGATAGAGTGTCGGCCTGCGGACTGAAAGGTCCCGGGTTCGATTCCGGTCAAAGGCATGTACCTTGGTTGCGGGCACATCCCCAGTGGGGGGTGTGCAAGAGGCAGCTGATCGATGATTCTCTCTCATCGATGTTTCTAGCTCTCTGTCCCTCTCAATTCCTCTCTGTGTAAAATCAATAAAATATTTAAAAAAAATGTAACTATGAAGGGGCGGGCCTTCGTCTACACGGCACTCGCGTCGCCCACCGGTTGGGTTGTGCGTATATCAGAGATTTCGTTTGCTCCCTTTGTGGCCAAAGTGCTTGTTCATGAAATGTATATTTCGGGCTACGTCTACATATATAAACAGATCCAACACGGGTTCCAAAGAGACCTGCCCTGAGGAAACCAGCATTGAATTCTTTAAGGGAAAGTGCAATAGAAGCATGTTTCACAAGACATCGCCTAGAATTAGGGAAGTGTGAGTTGTAAGAACTACCGCTGTCCGAGGTGGAGGAAGTAATTGGAAGGGTACAGAATGACGCCCTCATGCTTTTGCAAACGGCGTTACATTCTTGTTCCCTTTAAAGAAACAGGAACAGGAAACCATAGATGGCACAGCCTTGTGAGTTTCGTACAAGACGGACCACGTGGGACTCCCCCCCCCCCCTCAGCAGAAAAGTCTAGGACAGGCATGGGGAACCTCCGGCCCGCGGGCCACGTAAGGCCCTTGCAATCATTGATACCGACCCTGCCAAGGCATTAGGGGTGAGTTCATGAAATGTTTGACCAAATACAGCAGGCTAACTTCTGGGTTGGTCATTTTGTATGGCCTACGAATGATGTTACAAGTACCCAAATGGCCCTGGGCAGGAAAAAGGTTCCCCACCCCTGCTCCAGGCCTTTCTTGAATGGCCGGGAAGTGAAGGTCCGCGTCAGAGGATGATGATGCTGGGATGTCCTACCTCTGGAGTCGAGGACCCACAGGGGGAAGTGACTTGCTCAAGGTCACGCAGCAGTCCTGGGCCAGAGCCGAGCAAAATAGCCCTCTTCCGTGCATGCATGGCAACGCCTATTTCCGTGGGCCTGGCATGTATCGTCGAACTTCCTTAGGCTCACGTCCCTGGCAAATCGGAGCGGAGGAGGGACCAGAATACTGACCGCTGAATCTGCTTGCCCATGGGCCCAGTGCACACGCCTTCCACGAGGAACCACCAGCCTTTTGATGCCCTCCCCCTCCCGGACCAGAGCTTGGCAACGTGGTCTCACCTCTTGGAAGTGTCCCCATGTCTAGAGATGTCCCCATGTCTAGAGAAGGAAATGAGGTGTCTTTTGAATTGCCCATGACTGAGTGGTGCTGGCAGAAACCGGTTTGGCTCAGTGGATAGAGCGTCAGCCTGCGGACTGAAGGGTCCCGGGTTCGATTCCAGTCAAGGGCATGTACCTTGGTTGCGGGCACATCCCCAGTAGGGGGTGTGCAAGAGGCAGCTGATCGAAGACTCTCTCTCATCGATGTTTCCAACAATCTCTCTCTCCCTTCCTCTCTGTAAAAAAATCAATAAAATGTATTTTAAAAAAAAGAAAGAAAAAAAGAAGAAGGATTCAGAGGCTGCTAGGAGGCTCCGTGGGAATGATGCCGTATCGATTAGTGATGTCTGCCATGAGCAGAGGGAGAGAGTGGCAACAAGTGTCCCCTGCCATTCCCGGGAGGCCTGGATGGCTGTCATGGGCACCTCTCTCCACCTGGTGGCCGCTAGGTGAATTGCATAAAAAAACAACAGGATGTCAGGGCTGTGGTTTGCCAAGTCAGGATGGAGGTGGGAACAGACATCAACCAGGAAATATTTTGATCCATGGCAGGTGGATTAACCAATCAGTGTTCTGGCGGGCAGAGCTTGGGTAGACTGGAAAAACATCTCCCCAGGGGATCCCCTTATGCCGACTGCGGCCCCAACACTGGGAACCTCCCTTTGGGGGGGACAAGACAAGGAACTCTTTTTGAGCGTGGCCTGTCGGGTAGAAATGACTGTTCCTTCTGGGAGGAAAACAACATTCCAGATGCATTTCCCCCACAAGCGCGCTGGGGACAGGGGACAGTGGGATCAGAGATACAGCTGGGAAGTTCGTTACCTACTCAGCTCACTTTCGGGACCTGGAGAACCTCGAGGGAGGGGCCCCCGGGAAGGCTCCTTGCAGGATGGAAGGTGCTGGAATACAAAGGAGGCACTCGGTGATCTCATTGGTGTGAATCAACCCTCGAGGAGCACCCATAGGGAGTCCCTGATCCAGGACCTAGCTCCCCCCTCCCTCCCCTCCTCCCCGAGACTGATCGTCCTCTGGGCTTTGGGTTACTCATCAGGCCGGTGAGTGAGCTGACAGCTGTCATGTTATCTGAGCCCACAACCAGGTGGGACTTGCCCCCAAGGTGGGGCTGGCAGGGAGAAGCTGAGGATGCTGACTGCCTGGTGGGTGGGCGCCCACACAGAGTCCTTGTCTAAGAGGCTGTGGGGTGAGACCAGTGGCCTTGAGCCTACCTGCCCAGGCTGACATCCACAGAAAGCAAGCTCCACGTGGACAGAGACCACGTCTTCTGTATGGAACG